CTTTTTATCTTATCGGCCGTCCATTGCACAAACTACAGAAGCAGCATCAGCAGCCGTAAAGAGCAGCAACCCGCGTGTTATAGTATGTGTGTATGCAGTATACGTATATATATGTTACACGTTATGTTGTTAGGGTCTCCCCCGAGTCGGTTCGCGCGAGACTTTCTGCCGCCAGGCTCTCCCATATACACATTTACACACATACATAAATATATGTAGTATATATACACGAGCACGAGTATTAAGCACAGTATATACAGGCTCTCGATTCCTCTCCGATTCTCGGAGAACGCGGCTCTCTTCTTCTCGTTCTTCTTCTTCTTCCTTTTTTTTACCTTATTTTCTCTCTCTTTCTCTCTCTTGCTCTGGCCTATACGCTGCTGTTGCTGCTCTGCTCTCTTTTGCCAGCTTCAACGTTCTGCAGGATGCGCCTCTTTTTTTTTCTCTTTCTCACGAGTAACGACGACGAAGACGACGACGACGACGACGACGACGACGACGGCAGCAGCGGCGAAGGAACCGAAGCCGCTTTTGCCTTGATTCTTTGCTTTTACGCGCGCACATACATACTACGCGCTCGTGTTCCTTAAGCTCCGTGCATGTGTGTTATGTTGGTTATATACCTACCTGCCAACCTGCGTATATGCCGCCGTTGCCACGATCGATTGGCCTCACTTCTGACGTCACTTACACTGATCCATACCGAGCGCACGTATACCTGTCTGCGCACACCTGCATGCATGTGACCCGTGCGTGCGCCGATTCTAATGCACCCATGGAACTCCGCGAATCGCGCGCCTTTTTACCGTTCGCGATTCAATTTTGAAAAATATATATCGCACACGGACGCGCTCGCTCTTTGTTTCGTGTTTTTGGTCGAAAAACGCGCGGATTTAAGCGAGATCGAGCTCCGATCCGTTTTTACGACGATAAAAAAGGAATGCAAAGGGTTGTTGTTGCGTGCCAGGCAACAACTTTTATGAGTTTGAAAAATCGCGTTCGTTATACACATTTTGTTTTATTGCTCCCTTGCTCTCTTTCTTTCTCTTTCTCTCTCTCGCCTGCTCTCTTTTGCTCGCGCCTTGAGAGAAAAGAAAAGAGCAGAGCATCAGTTCGTCCCCTTTTGTGATGGACCAAACGTAAGACCGAAGATGAGATTCCTTATATGCAGGGATATTTATCACGAAGCCTCTGCGCTGCTTGCCACGTCCGACTGAAGAATTGGATTCTATACATTGTATTAATTTCTCTGAAGATGCCATAAGTTAATTTAGTACGGAATGTTTCGTAGCAGCTTTTATGTGGAGCAATATACGATGAATATTGTTTCACGAGGAAATGGCCGCTGCTGCTGTTTTTTTGGCCCTGGTGAATGAAAATTTGCCTCTTCTCATTCAACGCAACTCACTTACGTGCCCTGCTCGTGGAGTAAAGAAAATACAAGTCTCATTTATTTGTTATATTTATACGTGACATATTCTCAGCGATCGGCTTCGTCGCGTGCTGTTGAACTTCCATCGAAAGTAATCGAGCTATTGTACACACGATTTAAAATTTTTCATGCCACTTTATTAAACAAGAGGTGAGCTTATCTATCTTACGATGAATTGCAGCTTTCATCGTGAAAACATATAATACTTTGCGTCGCGCGCACTCATGTTGTGCAATATTTTTTATTCCGCTGAAACTCGTACGTTTTTTTTATTATTGTTTTTTCAACTTTGTATATTATGTATTCTAAATTATGCTTTCAGTACCAGTCGAGCTAACATTTGATAAAATTTCACGTTTTAATTGATGATCCATTGGACATTTTTCAAACACTTTACCCAGAATAAGCAGAGCGGGGTTTTCGAAAGTACAGATTTACACTTCCGCGTTGCGTTTTCAAAATATTATTTTCTGATGGACATATTTGATTCATCGTACTTGTATGACATTGAAGCATTTGTTTGGGCACTTGCCAATTGATCTCGAGAACAACTTTTGTTCGCTCCCATCCCAAACGGATTACACACTAATGTTCCGCGTAATGTCTGAATTAATATGCCTCGAAATCTCGGTGATGGGCGTGAAGTTCGCGCGCGCTACATGTATACCGCCTCCGCGCCAAAAAGCAAGGCACACTCTCTAGGAAGCGCGATAACCGAAAAGCGGAAATCTCCATCCTTGAAGACCATTAAGTTTCAAGGGCTAAACGCGCTTATTTCTTTGAATTAGTGAAAGTGTGAATTGTCAACGGTATGCAGAGGAGGTAACGTGCAAATGTGAGAAACTTGAAATTTTATGAGTTAAGCATATGATCGTTGGAAAAATTCCGCATAAAGGGAACACTTTTCTTTTAGCAACTCAATTATTATTATCAATAATGTAATGATTGTTGTTTGTTGTAACCCCTGACTGTTAAATTTAATTTATTGTTTGCGTCACCTTAGAAACAACTCATCATTCATATCTTCTTTCCTCGCCAGGTTTACGTCAGAAAAAAACCGTGATGCATACACATTGATGATAACGTAAAATCAGTTACAAAATTCAGAAACACATTAATAGAAAATGAAGAGAAAATGTTGATTTATCATTTTTTTTAATTATTCAAACAGTTTTACATACATTATATAAATAGACTAAAAATACATACACTTATATGAACTATATTATCTAATGATTCATGCATTATATCGTTGTTTACAAAAAGAAATACATTTAAAGTCATATCGAAAAATTATTTGCTGCTGTTTATATACATTAAAACTTTTTCTTTTTTCTAAGTGTTAAGAATTTTTTGCTGCCTTGATATAGTTTCAATTTCAATTTTGTGAACAATTTTTTTTTTACTTCTCTCATAATGGACTATCTCGATTACTTTAGTGAACAAGAAGTAGAGCAAAATTAAAATAGTGTATACGATATAATTAAAACGAAAATTATATGGAAATTTTATGTTATGTATTATGAAATAAAATGTTTCATTATAAAGTATAGTACGTGATAAAATCCAGTCGAGGCGTTGTGAAATTGCACGTATAACCATAAGTTACAATAAATGAAATACATGTAAAAAAAATTAGAGATTATTAGAAACAGCTTCGCGGAGTCAATATAGATTATTAAAATATTATATAAGTCTCTCATGCACCATCAAGTCGATCGCTACAATATGATTTTGCTCATCCCCCTATTGATCTTAATAAAAGAAAGTTCAAGTCTTTTTTCCATCTTAAACTCGGACGATTTTTTAAAATATAAATTATAAATTAAGTAGTTATATATATATAATATATTTATAAAAGACACACAATGTAAAAAGTGTCTCCGCGCTCGTATTTAGTTGAAACGAGGCACGTGCACTTACCACATTCATGCTTACTTCGGATTTAATGTCTCGAGCCATTTTCATTTATAGATAAATTTTTCAAATTCATCATAAGAGAGATTCCGTATGATATGTATGATTGTAATATATGAGTGCAAAAATATAATATTTTTTATTGGTCACAAATTTCATTCTGCTTATATAAAAAAGAGTCGGCACTTACACTTGTACACTCATTGTTACTTTTGCGACGCTCATTGCAGTTACATTTTTTTCAGCAATATAAACATTCAGCGTCGCGACAAGTCTTTCAAGTCTTAAAAAAAAATTAACGCTCAACTAATGTTCTACTTAATAGCTTATAACGTATGTACCTGTCTATTATGAGTATACAAAATGACATGTATATTGATTCGACATGTTTCTTTTTTTTACTTGAAATTTTTTCCGTCTAGACGTTAGTCAAGCGTGAACCTTTAAATGATAATAAAATAATAATATATTTATATATAGCGCTAGTCTTGATGCAGGTTACATAGTAAATCGCCGATTAAATTTTTCACATTCATTAAATAAAAATAAAAGCCATTAAACATTTAATCGTTGTGGACTCGGATAATTTGCGGTGAATCATTGCGATCGTGAGACGACAAGGCACGAGTGCACAATGTATAATTGTGAAAAAAAAATCAAAAATAATACGAGTTTATCATATAGGAGGTACAGAAATTTGTTTTTTTTACCGCAGTATCATCCGTTGCCCGCTGAACAATGTTTATTTTTATGGCCTTTGCGCTTTTTGCAACCCGATCAAAAGTAGCCACGAAGATAATGAAGACTGTTTGCTTGTGTTTACGTAGGGTACACATTTATGATATTATAATATACCGAAAAAATGCCTTACTAAAGTCTTTTTTCTCTTTATAAAATGCGTTTACAAAATATTCTCACCGAAAAACAAATTTCGTTTGAAAGCGCATTTGTGTCAACAGTCGAGCAACCCATTTTGCGGTATAATTTATACGTTTTTACTACACTCATTCACCCATCGAAACGTAATAAAATCCGTAATATAGGTGTATTGTTTTTTTTTTAATTCAATTTCATTGAAATTTTTTCAAAACAAGTTTTATAAGCTCTTAACACTTAAAAATGCGTATCGCGATACTTGAATAGTCACGTGGAATGCAACAGGTGGGGTCCTATTACGCATTTTTATGGGAGATCTATGCTGCTGCTGTGCTACACTCACGACTATGCCGTTGCTCGACTGTTTTCCCAATGAATTTTTTTTCTCGCATCAAGAGAACCCAACGCTCGTAACAAACTTTGTTTACATAACCATATAGTACAGCAGCAAATAACGCGTGTTCCCATCGTTGAGCATAAATAATTTTCATAATTTCATTCTTTATTATCTTCATTTTTAATTGTTATCGCTTTTTTTCAATAAGTTTCTGACCGATTCGTACGATTTTTCTTTCGCTTATATTCCTAAATTTTTATCAGTCAAATCTTTACATCTATACTCGTACGAAAAAAAATCTTGGAAGAGATCAACGTTGTGAGCCAAAATTATTGCACCCTCCCATTTTTATGCCGATTTTCCGTGAATAATTCGTTTCGATTTTCGATTAATGCGTAATTAAATTAAAAAACAAGCTTATGGACGATGAGTCGTTGCTCAAGGCATCATCTTCCTCGGTGTCAGCCACTTTTTCATGTAGTAACAGAAAATCGTCGAAACGTAGATGAGGACGAGTAGAGCGCATGTTACGCCTAACGCCAGCACCGATGTTTTTGTTGGACATGGCTCCACGATCGTAACTGTTTTGTCTTGAGATATGAAAACAAGAAAATGAAGTCGAGGTTAAAAAATTGACATTTATTCGTTTGTATACGTGAGGGACCAATTGAGTCGAATTGCGCATGATGAAACAAAAATAAACTTGAGCCACGAGCGCGCGATGGGACACTTTTTTTGTAACGATTTGATTGACACGAAAAATATAACTCACCGGCCTCGTTGAAGTCTATACTGGCATCATTCTTCAAAAACTGTGATTGCTTCTCATCGCCGAAGTCGAGCACGAGGATTTCTTGAGATAAGGTCATGTCATCCTCGTTCGTTGTATTTTCAAGATTACGCTTGCGCCTCTTACCCCAAGATTCAAGAGAATCACGGCCGTACTCGCAAGTAGCCTGTATGTGGTGTGCAGAAAAAATCATTCATGCGTTAAATTAACTCGATCTCGGATCTCTCGTAGAATTTTTCTTATGGATACATTTTTTTTTTACTTAAAGCTTGCTGTCGGGAGGTATGAGTTGCGTTCTCAAAATTCACCGAAAAAATGTGGCCCGTTTGCCGTGTTTAGTATACCAGCGATAGAGAAAAATATTTTGCATATTTACCGGCTCACACTGTCCCAGACAGTACTTGACGTTACATTGGAAAATGACACCGTAAGATTCGGTGAATCTGAAAGCTTCGTAAGACGACTGCAGCGCGTTGCCGTCGGTCGAGAATCCTGGGAATATGGACGAGTCGACCGGACATCTGTAAAGTATCGTGAAAAAAAAAAGAAAAAATTCAGCATGAGCATGATCAAGTGTATGTGCTCGTGTGTGACATTGAGCATCTGTTAAAAATAAAAATAAAAAAAGGTGAAAATGCGACGGCTCGCTTACCCTTCATCGTCGATGATCTGGAAAGTACTCTTGGCGTCCTTAGCCATGGCAACGCAACTACGAGCAAAAATGCCGTAGGGAGCTGGAAAAGCAGTGCACGATTTTGATTAATGCGTGCCGAATTCGGAACGAGATCGTCGTTATATTATATTATACGTACTGTCTTCTGGAATCTCGATTCTGAAGGTGAGCCTGTCACCGATCCTGACGGTCTCGACCTCTCGGGCGCCTCCGTCGAGTATGCGGATCTTGGGTGGCGGCGCCTCTGGTGCGCTGGTGATGCTGATCATCTCCGGGTCGCGGATCGGCATCATACCGAACGTGATGTTTTTCGACGTCATGTCGTACGTGCACTTGACCTTGTAAATTTTGTCGGCCTTGGTCATGACGACCGAGTGATGTTGTAAGACGACCGTGTTTGAGTACGTGCCCGTCTGAAAACCCGGGTCACTCTGAAGAAGATTTTAGGAATTTTGTGCATGAGTGCGCTCTTTATATACAATTGCATTTGATTGTGATGTTGCATTGCAAAATTTATAAAATTACATTGATATAATTAGGTACATTGGTACATTGCAGATTATGTGATGTATTGTATAGGTTTGAACGGTGCGTGATGGTGTGAGGGATGGTATGAAAGGTTCTACTATGTATTAGCGGTGCAACCTGGACTTTGGACACTTACCACGCTCTGTGTGTTACAATCCTGTCCGTTCATCGTCAAGTCGAGCCGGAAGGAATTGCTGTTGCTGACGTCGTTGTTGCACGTTTCCGAGCGTCCAAGAGCATAGATTCTTCCGTTGAACGGTTTGTTTGTGTGCACCTGCACTGCTATTCTTGTGTCCTTGCAGTCAACCTCGACTAAACGATACACATATTATTGTTTTAATTAAATTTCCTGCACCGCTGCTCTCGAGTGATAATATATGTGATTGAGAGGAAAGCTCACCATCGTAGCACGTGCCAGTTCTATCGCAATTGCTCCTCGTTTCGTTCCATATTGGTTCGGGGGTCGGAGTTGAAAGCGATGGCAATTCTGAAATGTCAGACGTTGATTATTAACAATTTAATCCGCATTTAGATTGCATAAGATTAAGCTGATTTACGGTGTTTCGAAAATTGAGAGTCGATCGAGGCGAACCAAAAGTACCGGTCACGTAACTTTTGACAAATCTTCCTCATATATTGTCAAAATTTTTCGTCATGCATTTTAAGCGATGCACTTTTTCTAACTCTCGCTCTCTTAACGAAAAAAAACTCTTTTTTGCACGTCATCGACGAGAATACCTATTATATTCTAGTTGATAAATATGCATGTATTTTGCATCTTTTTCCCTCTCTTTCATTTCACTCACGAATGACAGAGCGTTCGAAGAAAGAGAGGGACCGTTATTTAGATTGTGATATTTTTAAATGAGTGAGAAATCATGTTTAAATACTCTCGGCTAATTTAAATGCATCTCGTCGATATTGATCTCTTGTCCCGCTTTCAACTTATCAATGAGACATTTTATATCTTTAATAATTTTTTTTCCTTCCTTTTTGCCTCTCTTTCCCCCGAGAAACTACGTTGTACATTTAAAATTTATCTGTTTGTTTGTCCATATAAAACTGGCGTTTAAAAATACGCACGGCTCAAGTGTGAGAACGATTCGCTTCTTCGTTACCTTGACTTTTGCAATGAAACGACTGAAAAAGCCCACTTTTTTGGAAGGAAAAAAAGAGCAGGATCGGTAAAAGCCACAAGACACGTGCGCCGAATCGTGCGCTCCATGGCGCGCGCGCGTTTCATAGTTATGTCATCCCAACTATGCGATCACGGGGGCCGTATCGCGTCGCTTTTAATAGACTCGTAAAATGGCCTAGTGCACCGTTACCTGGCATTATGGTTTCACGAGATCGGCTAGAAAAATAGAGAAAAAAAAGTAGAGATAGAGAAAAGGCACTTACTCTCGCAGAAGTTTTCATAATAGGTGCCGACTCGCTCCCCGTTGTCAATGAGCGGCCTCTCGGCGTTGAGATAGGTCGAGGGCCCGTCCGGCAGGGTCCAGTGATCCAAGTGGAACAGGTGGCAATTGTAAGCCTGGCCCAGGGGGGCACCGCGATACAGGTAAGACCTGCAGAGGAACTCGTTCTCGATCTCGCAGGCGATCTTGCAGGCCGGCTCGTTCTGTACTTGCAGCTCTTTGTCCGTGTAGTAGTGCAGTCCCGCGTACTGGGCTATCTTGTCGTCGGCCACCCCGATTCTTGGCACTTGGAAGCTTCGCGTGCCTTTGCAGGCCTCTTTACCTGTTGTCACAGAGAGAGAAGCACATATAATGGATTACAATGTGAGCTAGCCGCAGGTTGCAGGATGTAGCAGCAGAGTCAGGTCCGTCGAGATTTTTCTTCGAGCTACAGTCTTTTTCTCTCTCGCATTTGCACGCATCGATTGTTATATATATTCGCGTATAGAATATCGGATTCCAGCGAACAGCTCGCATTCCCAAGCCTCCAAGTGCAGGCAGAATTTAATTTTATGTATACGAGGCACAATATAAGACCGTTAGCAGCAACATCGGGCCGAGCTGCTGCATTAATAAGCATAGCTGAGAATCTTCCATGATGTTTATGCGTTGTTATACATACCTTTCAAGCAGAGATTCTCAAAGTAATCGACGCCCTGAGCATCGACGAACTGCACGTACTGTCCGGAGGATCGGCGATCGGCGTCGCTGAGGTGGCACTGCAGGGTCACGTAATTATACTCGACCGAGCGACAGGTGAAGCGGTGCTCGTTGAGACAGGCGGCCAAGCAGGCCTCCTTCGTCGACGTGTAGATGAGGGCCAAGTCGTGGCCACGGATCATTTTGTTCGGTACTCGCTCGAATGCCCACGGTCGTATGCACACGTTTTCTGTCGAAATTTAATTTTTTTTTTTTTAATGAACAATATTTTTTTTAATATTTTTCATAATTCTAATGATGTTGGATTTCGTTTCTTTCAATTGGAGTGCTCATATTTCCATCGAGGAAAATTCATTGCCGCTTGCGAATCGAACATTCATCGACGATAATCACAGCTTAGGCAGAAATTTCCAATTGACGCATACGAGCAGAAAGATTTTAATTAGCTGCGTCGCTTGACTTAATAGGGCCATAGTATAATGAGATCGGTTCTTGTCCAGAAAAAAAGATATTTGCAATTGTAATGGCCTGAGCGAGCGAGAGAGAGAGAGAGAGCAAAGATAAACGTGTATACACACACAACCCGAAAGATCGATGCTATACGCGAATGCGCCGTGGTATCATCAATCGATATACCCATTAAATAAATAAAAGCCGCAAATCATTCCCGAGAAAACAGTTGAAGTGCATAGATTGGCTCTCTCTGTCTCTCGTTCGCTCGAGTTTATACAGAGTAGGAGTGGAAAAACAGGTCTGCGTTCTATCAGTCTCTGTCCTCTCGAGTCGTGTCTCGAATACACTCGAACACTGCACTCACACACTTGCGTGCAATGTACAGCTCTTATACGAGTGCAACTCGCGGGTACTATGTGCATGCATACATATATGTGCACGAGATACGCAAGGAAAGGACGAGAAAATTCGAAAAGAAAATACGAATGAGGACGCTCGGGGCTTTGGTTTCGTTTATCTGCATATATAGATCATTTCTTCGTTTTATAATATTAAATAGCTCGCAAGATAGAGCAAGAGAGAGGCAGGTAAAGTAGCTCTATGCAAGCTGACCAAGTAGCGCGACACACGTTGCTTGCTTGCGCTGCAGGGCTTGGCGCCAGATCGAAAGTGCGTCTCGTTAATTATAACTCGGATTTCGCGGAACGCATCCGCGCACACGGCCAAGTTACAAGTTAGCCACTAGTGGCGCTCCGCTGTAGAAACGATCGCACCATCGGTGCAGCAAAACTTTTGCTGCGCTGACGCCACACACACACGTATTGCACTATATATGATGTGCTGCGACTTGCTCGCACATAACGATCGTGACTTTTATACACGGTCGGGGGCTCGATGTCGAACGTAGTATAAGTAATGCATTCATTTTGCATTCTGTGTAGTGGCAGTAGTAGTAGTAGTAGTAGAAGTAGCAGTAGTAGTAGTAGTAGTTGTAACATTTGGCGCTGTCGATCGAGCAGCTCACGTCTCGCAAAATTCCGAGAAGAACGCCTGTAACCTCGCAACCTTTTGGCGCTGGCGCGATCGAATGTCTGCATGCTGTGCAGGCAACAAAACGTTCGCAGAAATACCGAGGCGAGCGCTGCAGCTTTGCGATTGTGTATACCTTGCATTCGCCTCACATAGGCGACGTTCCATCCGCGCTTCGGTCCGTTTCCGATCATCGACACGCTCTCTCACAACGGCTTGTGTGTGTGTGTGTGCCTTCGATGAATTTACCTATGTGCATATATTTACCGGCCGAGGGTTGCGAATACCAGGAAAAAAAAGAAAAGAATACAGAAATATTTCACCTCGTTGGCGTGACGAGCTCTCGCGCGCGTCGTAGATTCGAGTAAAGAGCCAACGAGTTGCAATCGCAACGATTTGTGTCTTTAGCTATAGGTCTATACACCGATCGCTCATGGGCTGAGAGAGAGAGAGAGAGAGAGAGAGAGAGAGAGAGAGAGAGAGAAACATTCCTCGAGTTCCAAACGAGCATCGTTCCGAGAAGGGAAATCAGTGATTCCTCGATTCTTATATTATATACCCCCGTGGATCGTGAAACTAGGTCTACGACGTCGTACGAGTTGTTGGCGCCAGTTGAAGATATTGTATATCGAGAATGACTGATGTTGTCAATTTGTTTGGATGCTATTTATTTATATACAGAATACGAACCCGACTCCTATTTTAACGAGTCGAGGGTGTAGAATATTCTAGCTGTACTGACTTTTTTAATAGCTCCACCGTCTCGGCTTTACTATTCTCAGAAAGAAACAATGAAAATTTCAATCCGATTACTCGGCTCTGGACTTATTTGGCGGATTTTAGTTTCTAATTGCATTTGAGCAGATGCAAATAACATTTATTTTTTCAATTATAGACAGTAAAAAACGAGATCCAGAAGTGATCTCTCATCTCGGTAGCCGAGAGCCTGGACCGAGACAAGCGAGGTGTTAAATCTACCGAGCTATTCATCACAATTTGACACTATCTATTAGATTTCAATTGTGTACCAGATGAGCATTGTAATGCCTCTTCGGATGAGTAATGAGCTGCGGCTTTAGTGGACGGCGCAAGATGGTCAAGGCATATTTTCTCTTTTCTATTTTTAAACGCTAAAAATGATCGCACACCGGCGTTTTTGAGCCGTTTCGGAATTCACAAACGTCGGCGTATTATAATGTGCGCACCGCGCGCGTTATCCAGTTCGCTAATTTTGCAGAAATTTCAATTTTTATTTCTATCGTAAAAACTAAAAACTCGAACAGGAAACACGACACGAGCGGTTTTAAACTCTTTTCTTCCTCGTTCGCGTATTATAATCAAACGAGTTAACGCAGTTAACGCCGATCGAGCAAATTGTAGAATTCGTATCAATTCGAATCAATTTTAACTTTGGTCAAAAATTTTAATATGCTTTGCGTTGAATTATTCATATTATAACTATAGATCTGCGATCTGCTTATTAAAATTTTTGGCTTTTATAGGAATAGCCCAGTGAAAAAAGATAAATAAATAGCTTGAAATAAAATCGCATCAAAAAATGAACGCGGACCTCTAGAATTTTTCTAATGACTGTCTTTGTAGATCGGAAGCTTTTCAAATATCCGCTTTAATGCCCAAGTCAACGAAAATCTCAAGCGCACACACGCGCTGAATCGTTTCCCACATCCTCGCTTTAATTTTCTGCGCGCGCTTGTGCGATTATTAAACGATCGCCCACGTCGCATACGCGGACAAATGAAAAAGAAATTGCTGTGAGGGTCACCGACGAGAGTGTATATTATAGTAGTAGTATAGGCACACACCACCAACCGCATCGATACCGCGCGCGGCTCAGCTCAAAAGTAGCAGCAACAGCAGAAAACGCACCGTGGCGGCTTATTTTGAAAAGAATCAAGTGCAAAGTAATCGGCTCTTCTGACAATTGGCATTGAACACGGTCCCATTCGTGTATACAAGGGATCTAAGGGACTTTTTTCTATTTTTTCGATACACACACACATACATGGGAGAGCAGCATACCTCGCTCTCGGCGTTTGGGAAGTTTTGATCGTGTGTAAGCGGCCCGCTTATACACATATTATACAGAGGCACACACGGGATACAATATACAGGCGCACGAGAGCAGGAAACGCTCGCGCGCGCGCGCACACATCTCGAGCATTTCTTCCTAGAACCGCCTCTATTGCCTCGTGTATAACCACGACCCCCTGTGTATTCGATTCATGTTGTATGTTTTCCGAGGTCGCGCGCGTGTGGGGATGTAGTGTACGTATAACACAACCTTGCGCTTGCGCGTATTCCCGAGCCGGGCCGTACATACAGTCTGCGACTCTGCGTGGGTGTGGCTACTGTGTAGCGGCTCCAGAGTCCACCTTTCTCACACCTCGAGAGCCGAGAGAGCCTCGCGTATGGTGCTGAGCTCGTTATGTGTTTTCTCATTCTCTTACGCGCCTTTAATTGCTTTCATCTCTAATGCGGAGAGTGACAAGTTCCATTTTTTTGTGTAATATGATACGTATTTTTATTTGAATAGACATTTCATTGAATAGCACTTTGAGGCACGCGAGCAGGATAATTGTTCGATTTATAAAAGTCATATAGATGATTAAGCTTGAGCTCTTATATAAAAAGAATACTTACACCTGTACCAAATGTAAACAATAGATTTAACGCCTTGGTATACAGAGTTTTCGGAGATTCGTGGTTTATCGATGGAATTAAATGCATTACAGGTATTTAATTTTTGGAAAGTTACATAAAAACGTAGTGTTGGAAACGTAAACGAGTTCACCGCGAGTGTGTGATTGATCACGGCTACCGGTCTTGTATATATGCCTAGTACATGCATAAATTAATTACAAAGATACCACTGAACTGGATAATTAACGAGCGTCGAAGCAACGATGCGTCGGTCCGAAGTGTGAAAATCTAGACGGTGTGAAAAAACGTCTAGTTGAGCGACCAACAAGCCTGTAATATTGCGGGTGCGTTACATGGCCCGATTTTAGAGAAAGTACCTGTTGTTGGCTTAATGCTCCGGCTAAACGCCGCACATCTGTTCGATTAGGAAATGGTGGAGAGTACGTGTGTACCAAGAGATTTCTTTTTCAAGCTCAACGGTCGTGTGCACATCGAAAATACATGAAGTACGATTCGCAGGCACATATTGCTCATACCGTAGATCGGCAATCGGTCCGAAATCAGGTCGATAATGTAGATCCCTCTATCGGCCTTATACCCTTTCACGATATACATCGGTTAAAAAGTGTATTACAAGTGCAGGCTCTGCGCAGTTGGTCCCTTACCTGATCGGATCTGCAATTTGGTCATGTAGTACATGCTGACGGCTCGCTGCGGCGACGAGTTCGGATTAGTGGCCGCCGTCTCGTTCTGAAGCTGACACAGGGTCTCCTGCATCGGTGCCAGCGGATTCACCACGAAGGAGAACGCCGCGGCCTGGCACTCGGCCTCCTCGCGGCACCAACCCTGGCACTCGTACAGCGATAGATTGCGCACGCTGTAGTACGTCGTGCCGCGATAGTCGTAGTCCGTGAGCTTCTCGAATGCCGTGCGCGCTGTGGAAAAATCGTTGATCGTTATTATTATTATTGTTATTATCATTGTTATATGTAATATGTAAAAGTAATCGATCACATCCGCTTACGTGCTTGTGAATATCTCAAGCTTCATCGTAGGCAAGTTTTTTCCCGCTTTAACGGTCGAGTGTTTATACGTAAAATCATTTAAACATATTTGTTGGAAAATACGATTTTTCTACTATTTTGATGCATTAGTAATTTCAAACATTAGCATTGGCATAATTTTCAAATGATTAATTTGTGGTGATTACCTGTTGAAGTGAATGAAGCTTGGTAACGTGAAATGAATGTATCTCTTGGTGTCAAGTTACTTATTGGTATTGGAAATAACTGTACGTGTGCAAGTGTTTCATCTTGTGTCATTTAAATTTAACATATGTTTGTGTTCTTGTTTAGATGACAATAGCATCAATATGACTATAAAAAATCTTCACCAAGCGAGCATTTGAGGCGCCAATCTGTTTTCATTTTCTCCATTTTTTTTCTTAATTTTCATTTAACAATAATTCATCTCGGCTTAACTCTTCATATTCGCGTTTTTGATGGTTTTCGGAAAACGAGCGGATGTAGATGAATTAGCTTTTTTTTATTCTCTGCTCATGCCCACTAACTTAACCATATGGCTCTAAAAACATTTGTTTCACGAATATTTGCAAAGTCGAAAGTTTCACCATATTAAACAAATCGTAAATCGAGTTATTTTTTCCCGAGGATGGAATCCAGGAAGGAACAAAAATGAACGAAAGAAAAAATAAAAATGAAAAAAAGATAAAAAAAAATAAAAAAGGGAAAAAGCAAGGAAGCGCAGGCAGTATCGAGCAGCAGATCGAGTCTCGCGGATGCATTTCTCGGTAACTAGCTTTTTACATACAATGGAAATCTATTTTTGCTCGAACCTCGCAACTGATAAAACCGAGGGATAAGGATCGTTAAATAATTCACCGGCTTTTCGTATCGTCGCTCGTTTTCTCGCGAGTCTCGCTCTCGCTCCTTCTCTCGTGATATGTCGATTTAAATAATAATTTTCCAGCCAACGCGGCGACTCGACGCGTCATCGTCTTTCCAGAAATATTGTCCGGCCTGGCACAAACCCGCGCGAGAGTTGACGTTCGCAAAAAAGGCAAAAAAATGAATTTATTATTGTTTTATATGTATTATGAAGTCTCGCCGTGTGCTTGCGCCGCTGCACTTCATCCCGTATGCGCGAGAGAGGAAAAGAGAGAGAGAGAGAGAGACGTGTATACCAGCACTTTGACTTTACGATGCTAGCTCTCGGATGCAACATTCTCACATCGATTATTGCCTTTATTGCTCGTGCTATCATCATCTTTCTTTTCTTACGGTATTATACGTACATACGTATACGTACATAGATGATACACGGTGTAGCGTGTATGTGTGTGTATTTTATACGCGTGTGTAACTATATACGCTCGCGCGTTTATTTGTGCGTGCGAGGATGCGCATATAGTAGGGAATTATTTACGATATTAGTCGTGTGGGTGCTTATTATTATTAGCGGTATATACGCGCACGCACAGCCCGGCTCGCAGACGCGTACTGCAGCAACTTCCTGAACGATTGCAATGGTCAACATTTATTTACCATATTTCTCACAAAACATATTTTCATATATAGCAACCACATGCGTGCGCGCGTCGGTATTATGCATCGCGAGAGAGAGAGTTTATGGCAAAAAACACTAACGCTACGCACGCGTAAAATCGAATACGATCGTACATAATGTATAGTAGAAAAGTATTCGTACCTGGACCAGCCAATGCGCCGCTGAGAAGTGCGAGTATGAGAAAACCCGAGGTGACGTAGCTCATCGTTCGCGAGTCCATCTGCAAAAAGAAAAGAAAAATCCAGACGTGAGCTTTTTTGTATTTATACATCATATATCTTATATTATGTGTATGATTCACATAGATCGCCGCAACGGCGACGTGAACTTTGCCGCGCAGCCGAAGCTTCATAGCAAAAGCCAGTTTTGTAATAGTGGTGGCTGGTTTTTCAAATTATTTGTGTATAAAAACAATCGTCGCTCGATGATCGTTACACAGATGACTTATTGTCGACTTTGAGAGAGCTCGTGAAGAAACTAATTTCTACTACACTTCTTGCGCCTAGCTAGAATCACGGTGTTTCCTGCTATTCTGTTTTTTCTACTTTTTTCCAATCACCGTGTCAACGGCCGTGTCTATATATACTTGTCTGTATACTATAGACGAGTCTCAATCTGGTGTTATTTCCGCACTATCGATATATAGGAGACTTGGCGGGCACCTCATTAAAATCAGCAGGAAAAGGAACGCACCGTGATAAGATTATTGTTCGAAAGGTAAATTATGTATTTACATAAAATTGTTACGATTGTCATAGGGGGGCTGTACCGCGGAATAATTATTAAGGTACTAGATAAAAACGTTGAAATCAATTTTGGCTGAACCCAATACCTTATACACCGTTAACAACATTCGTTAGTCGTGGAAATATATGTTGCATTATGTATGCTTTTAATATTAAATACATTAAAATTAATAATGTAAAAGTGAAAGAAGATATTTATCTTGCATGTAAATAAATTCATTATTGTTGCTGCTTGTAATAAGAAATGAATCTATAAACACACAATTTTGTGAAAAGCAGGGATACGTGAATTTTTCTATAATCGTGCTTTAACGTATATATTTTATTATATTTTATCACTTGCAGATTTACAGAACAAAGGTTATCGCCATCTAGTGGTGGAGGCTGGCTTTAATTTTGATTGAATTTTTTTCATTATTTTGAGCAACTAGTGCAAAAACTAAACCAGCATTGAAACATTAACTTTCAATAAAAATCTAAATAGAACTATAGAATTTAATCTTTTTGGTTCATTTTTGCATTAAAAAATGAATGTGATTGACGTTACTTGAATTTTCAGTGCAATATGTATGAAGAAAATAAATCAGTACTGCTACATTAATTTCCAACTAAGATTTCAACGTCTAATTTTATGCCTTAAACCTGGATAAATGTTGACTTTTTTTGACACCATACATATTCAAATTTGTAAATATTCTATTATTGTTCGTTAACTAATTACACAAACAGTTTTCTACATTTAGCCACGAAATCTTTTCGATTCAGCCGTCTTTGAATAAATTTTAATAAATCAATGGAAAAGTACATTCAACCCGCGGCAGAGTTACAGGAATTCGCCCTTGTACGTGTTCTGTTATATCAAACGGATATTAAAGGTGCACTGCAGTTTGCAGTACCCAGCGCGTCTAATGTGCTGTACGAAAATAGTATTATATGGCCGCGGTCTGCGCTACATAGCGCAGCGTAGCGAGTCCTCCGCTCTGCTACTGCTGCATCCATTCTCTATACTTTATTTTTCAATTTTACTAGTCTTCCTGGTACTCTATACTACTTGGGAATACAAGGTCCTATTGCAGCTTCCGTTGCTGATGCTGCTGCTGCTGCTGTTGCTTCGCTCAAGCAGACCTAGCAATTAGTGCGAAATTGCGAGCGAACGCTGCTGTTGCTGCTGCAGCTACTACTACTACTACTCTATACAGGAATCTCTTCCTCATTTCTCTCTCTTTCTCTCTCTCTTTGCTCTCTTCTATATGATATATATCCCTCGGAGTTACTCCTGTCTTTTTCTCGGAAAGTAATGCGAGTAAACGATAGCAATACCCCCGCGCACTCGTGCTCGTGCTCGCGCGCATGCGAGTATTATATTTTTTTTCTCGCCATCGCTATTTTCTCGACTCACCGAAGGCTCGACGCGCACATAAAGATACGCACGCATATATACATATCGTACTTATATGAGACTATAGCATCGCATGGATACGTAATCGCGCCAATTTTCCCTTTTCCTTTCTACACGCCCTGCATGCTAAATATATGTTTACGAATGAGGGAAAATGTGCATTACATTATACTCGCGATTACGTTATATACGATCGCCGCCGAGGCAGTCTCGCGCGATCTGCTGCTGCCGCGAGAGAGCAAATTTTCAGTTACGACCGATAAGGCCGTGGCTTCCTTCCCTCACGCGCGCGCGCCGATAAATGCCGAGCATACCTCCGGTGCAATGCATCGCGCACAGGGCGCAGATTAGATTTTTCCAAGAGCAAAGCAGAGAGAGAGTGCATGCGGTATAGGCACACGTGTGTGCGTTTAGAATACGATATGTGGACGATGAGTCGTCGCCGCCGCCAATGTATCCTATATATAAGGTATAACGTGTAGTACTATCTGGGAGGGGTCGATGAACGATCGATGAACGCGCAATGAGCCCCATAGTGCAGTGCGCTCCGAGCGCATGTCTATGTAATGCACATACAGGATCGATATAATGCCCGCATCGACTCGCGGCTCGCATCTCTACTTCTCTTATATCCTATGTGCGAGCGAATCTGCACTTATGCGCCTTTTAGAAAAGTACAGTCGTGGTATAATATAACGTGTGCTCGGATGTCGCGCCTATATATAGCTCTAGACTCTACCGATCATTGCGCCCTGTTTTCCCGAGAGCAGCCCTAAAAATGAACCAGCAAAAAGGCACACATGTCTGCCTCTCGCGTATTATACGTCGTAATTCTCGAATTTGTTGTTTTATATTTAGCGCACTCAGGATACATATATAATAACGCGGCTCGCGCGCGCGGAAGGTGTGTTAAGACTCTCTCATGCATGCGCGCCGCGGCTAGAGCATACGATCATCGACGCCGAGGAGTGCGCGCAGTAAGCAATTAAAATTTCATTTCTCTCCTTTGATGCTCGTCAAAGTGATTTTACGAGTAGGCAAGCGCGCGCGTGTAGGCACCAGGTGCGAGTTTTATCATTAAAATAATTGACTCCTGGCGACGTGTGAAGTTTTCTAACGTTATTACGTATATACGTAGAAAACAATTACAGTCGTTATACCCGGAGTATTCGCATATCCGATGCGAGTCGCTGCTGCTGTTGCCGTTGCTGTGCTATGTTGTGTGTACGAGTGCAGGGGTATATACACGACGCTCGATGCAAGTATGAAAGCCCCACACGCAGTCGGCGCGACTCTGCCCATGATGATCTGCACACACATACGCGCGCGTTTGCTGGTACAGTGTGCGCGCATGGGTCATTATTTTACGATGACACTATTTGAGCAATTTAGCCGCGAGCGAATTTTATGTAAAATAAACGTATAAACTCGCACCGTGTGCTCGCTCGCTCGCTCAGGCAATTGCGGCGTGTTGAGGTATATATACGCGAGTAGGAAAAATGCTCACTTCTCTTCCTTCGCGCTCGCCTCGGTGTGTCTGCGACGCGGACCTCCGACAATTTAGTGCAATTTCAGCATTTTCCCGCGTACGTATATATACACATCTCCGCTACTACTATTGCGCTACTATAAAAGATTACAGTATATGAACAATAAAATGTACGCCTTAGAGGAGCTCCACGTATAAAATCTACAGCTTGACGTCGGCGCAGTTCTTTCGTGTCTTTTCCTCTCGTATATATATATTTTTTCCCCCTTTTTCCCTACTGCATTTTAACTTTTTTACCGCGAAAAAAAAGGAAGAAAAGAAAACTCTTTACTTGACTTCCTCTCCGTGGCGCTATATAATACATTATTGACTGCTTCTCATTTTACACGGGGGACTGTATATAGTGGTATAGTGGATGCGTATATATACTCGTTCATTACACCCCGCGAGTCTATGGTCGCATGTACATAAATACCTATATAGGTGAGTGCGAGAGAGGAGCTAAACTGGTTTTAAACTATCGTCGCGCTGTGGCCGTGTGGCTTTGGCTGTGGCTGTGCAACGGGCGTAGCAAGCTCGATTGCATTCGAGAAAAATTATCAGAAGATATTCTTCGACGAGTTTTTCCATCATCTACATATTACACGCACGCGGCGTCGGCCGAGCGCGGGTACGTGCCTGCGCGACTGTAACAGCTATACACTCACACCCACCGGACAAATAAGAAATCATTAACCTCGAATCGCATATAGATATACGTACGTGTGTGTCCGTGTGTATAGATACACGAAAGACTTGTTAAGTAATTTTTCTAGCACCCTCGCAAACCCGTTTTCTCGCGCGCCCTAACATCGTGCGGTGTATAAGTGTACGCGAGTGAGGCTCGCGAAGAGCTTGTGATGCTTCTGCTGCTGCTATCTCAACTACTCGGCCTCGCTGAAACGCTTACGTTTTGCTACGCTCCGCCGCGCGCTGAGCACTTCGAGAAGAGATCATCTTCGTCCTTTTTATATGCGCATACACTGCACGGCAGAGAGACGAACAGCTATTGCACTTACAGCAGCAGCAGCAGTGAGAGAACCACAGTACAGTAGCCAGCTGCGAAAGATAACATCTTCAGGCTGCATGGCCTGCACACCGAGAGTGAAAAAAGGACACGAAATTCCCTTGTCTTGATTTTTCGCGCCCCCACTCACAAGCTCTCTCTTTCTTTCTATCTTACTCTGTAGCAGCAGCTATACATAACGTGTGCTCGAGCGCGCGCGCGAAAAAGCAACCACATCCACACGAGCGTCACGAAGAAGCCAATGTCACGGTCACGCGCTTATACATACAGCCGCAGCCAGTCTATAATACAACTTCAATCCGTATTGCTCGTGTACGACTACACACACATACCTATGAGCTGCATCATGTGCATACGTGTGAGTGTGAGTGAGAAGATGAGAAGAAGCGAGAGGCATGAAACAGCTGGAATAGGCTATTATCGCACGAGTCCGCGAAATAGATGTAATGTATTTCAATATTTATGTCGTAACAGTTATCTCATATATGCGCGCATAAAGTCACATATTCCGCGCGTATCC